GTCACGTGACCCCCCCAGCCCCCCCCCCCCCCCCAGTACCCTTCCCTCCTCCTCCTCAAGAGCTGCGCTCTAATTCGGTGTTGCAGGGAGTTGTAAACGGCTTTCATTTATTTGTTCAGTATTTTAGATAAGAAAAGAAAGAAATGCAGTTTATAAAGTACGAAAACAAGAAATGACCCATCGACATACCCACCACCAAGCGGTGGAAAAGGCGGCGCATACTAGTAAGGCGTAGTGGGATCAGGCACCGACGAGCGGCGAGCGTAAAAAAGTCCCGGATGTACGGGACGGCAGTGCTGTCGTATACAGGCTCGAGGATCCGACCGGTTCCGGGCGTTCCGAAGGCCTTCGATGAGCAGGTTTGGCTTGCGGTTTGGCCATGTGTCGGTATGGCAGTGCGAAGCGGCTCCCGTTCTGAACTGACTTTTACCCCGTGTTTGCTGTCGCTTGTGGCCAATGAAGTGTCATGCCGAATTAGTGTTTAATCGGGCAGCAAATGCAATGCGAGCCGCCCTGGCTGCCCGCTTCATACAGCCTATCCAGAACATGCTTTAGTGACGCCCTTTCGAGCCGTCGACACGGAGTGCGGCAGCCGTGAGCGCTCACTGAGCTCACTACCCCTACTCTAGTTCACGGCCACTCAAGGGACCAAGGACGTCATGAAGGAGGTTATTTTTTGCTTGTTTTTGTAATTTTAATTTGCCTATAACTTTTAATATAAAGCGAAATTCGAGAAACGTTTCGTTAAGTTACTACGTTCAGTGCACTCAGGTTCGGCACAAATTAAAAAAAAAAAAAAAAACAGTAAAAAAGTCTCTCCAGGGCCCCTTTAAGAGTGCTTACGTGTAGGAATATGAAAGCATTATAGACCTCTTTCGAAAGGCTTCCCTCTGTTGGCAGCTGTGGAATCCCAGCACAATGGTGGACTAAAGTTGGAATGTCACAGCACAATTTATGCTTTTAGTTGTATTAGAACGCACACATATACACACATACACACGCATACAAGCGCGCGCGCGTGCACAGACACACACACTCACACAGAAAAAAGGTTCGTCGGCTCCTAGCCTAGGCCGCGCTCCGACTTTCGCTTTCTCATGGAATGAGTTACAAGTTCAACGATGCCGGTTGTTTCGCCATCATGCATTGATTCGGACCTTCTAATAATCGGCACGTGGCTTTCGAAAAGGGCCAGTAGTCGCGCCGGTGAAATGTTTTTGTGTAATGTTTCTACACGTATTAAAGTTGTCTCTGCCGATATTGTATTCGATGTGTGTGCGTGTGTCTCCCTTTTGCTTGAGCTGTCGTCAGGCGGTGACGTCATGCTCCCCCAGTGCGCAGACGAGACGCCCTTGCCGGCTCCACGGCTTCCATGACGAAGCATTCGCGCTACTGTGCTTTTCTTTGTGTTTTATTCTTTGGCGCGTCCGCCTTGACCTTGAGCGCCCCGCGGCTACCGTGGCGGTGCATCTGTGTTGCTGCGCTTTTCTTTGTGTTTTATTTCTTGTGATGGGTGCTTGATGACGTGCTTGATGACGTTTTTTTTGTTTTTTTTTATCTTGGGGCACAACGTCGCCGGCCTTTAGCGTAATGGGGCAAGTAAGGCTTTCGCCCTAACAAGCTTATCTCGTTAAACACACACACACATACACACACACAACAGAAACTTATTCTAGGCGGTCTATGCTACCACTTTGAAGACGATGCAAGCGTAGAGAGAAGTGCTGCCGACGGATCGCGGCGTACGCCGCGTCGAGGGAGAGCCGGTTGATTGGGGTGATAGTAGACGACCCCTCAAAAGAACCCGAATCGGCCGGCGCTCCCTTAACTTGACGTGTGCCATCTGTCGGCAGCGCTTCCCTCCAGGCGTGCATGTTCTACAAAGTGGCGTCGGAAATCACCACAACAGGCTTTTTTTTTTTTTTTTTTTTTGGGGGGGGGGGGGGGGGGTCAGTTGATTTGTTTAATGTTTTTATAGTAAACTTCCACGACAAGCTTGCACGTGTTAGTAAATCGCAGCGCGATACGTCGTGAAACCGATTTTTGCGGGCCGCCTAAAATGCATTAAAAGCATTAGTTCACATACCGTCGTTGACGTAGAGCGTTAGGTATAGGCCAGTTCCGCTACGAAAACAAGCACCCAGACATCGCTTCCGGAGGCGCGTACATGCGACAGTTGTTTGCTGAAAACTAGGTCGGATGAGGGGATCCTCCTCTAAGAACTTTGGAAAACGCAAAACGACTTGAACTCATAGAAATGAACGAGCTCAACAAGCTGCGTTCGTTGGGCACTTTGCAAATGCCGGCAGCAGTGTTTGCTATCCTTGATACTCAAAGCAAAAAAGGCAATCACTGAATATTTTTTACGGGAACCGGACAAAAGCTCACCGGACAAAAGCTCACCGAACAGAAGCTCACCCTATTTTTTTTTTTTTTTTTGCTAACCGAGCGAAACACGGGCTGGGATAAAGTGGGGACGCGATGGACATTGCTCCATTTTTAGAACTCGTACCCCATCCAATGCAAACGTGTCGACAGATAAGCCATAACAGGCAGAGAAGCACTGATTTGGGACCAAAATTTAGGTCACCGAAACTGAGTGGAGCTGATAAGATCAAGCGTGCATACCGGAGGACTCTTGTTCCACGCCCAAGAAACTTCGCGAACCGAAGTTTCTGAACCGAAAGAGTGATTGAAAAAGCAAAGTCACCCTTCGGTGACCTCGCTTTGTCGTTGTGCTTATGACACGCTAAACGTCCACATGAAGGTTAGTCGCAATGTCTCTTCATTACCAATGCATGGGTTTTCTTGGAGCTCAGGGTAATATTTGAAGTAAATGGCTACGAAAATTAAATTATTCCCGTCATTGTGCGTCGTAAATGTATCTGAAATCAAGGATTATCTTTGGGCGATGTGAAAGGGAAACTGAAGCAAAACTGTAATATACAACCCATTGAGTTGCGACTTTTTAAAATATTTTGAAAGAACGGGAGTTGGGCCTTTTGGACAAGTACAAGACAGATGACCAATTTAGGAAGCTCTGTAGGATTTGAATAGACTGGCGTTCCCCCCAGCACAACATGTGCCCGAAGGACTAACCTACATCAGGGAAAAGTCTACCGGTGACATTGGCGACCTGCTGGACTACTTTGATTACACGTATGCCAGCGGCCCCTTCCGTTACGATTCTGCTCCTTCTGCTGTGGCACTCATAGCGAATTCTTCTCTTTGACTGACTGTGCGCCGACAACGACCGGAGTTTCCCCCGAAGTGGTGGAATATATACGACTCGGTTGAATATGTACGACGCCACTCTTCAAAATAAAGACCTGACGAACAACACCTACGAAGGATGGAATGCAGGGTTCCAGAAGCTTGTCGGCCACGCCCATCCAAGCGTCTGGAGGCTGATTGAATGCCTACAGCAAAATCAGGCGCTCGTTGCCACGGCATTGAAACAAGCCCGGAGAGGTGAGCCCCCAGTGAAGCGGGTGCGAAAAACCGCTCTGCACCGACAGAATCGTCTAAAAATGTTTGCGAGGGGTTCCAGGTACACTGAGATCTACCGAGACTGTTGTATCTAAGAGGGTACTGCGTTGGCTTTTAACGAACCGATGAATAAACTTGTTTCTACTCTAATCAACAAACCTTGCGCTTGTCATATTTGAGTTATCGTTGCATTTTAGTGTTGCACGCATGCATCTAAGTTGTCCGCACTCGTGTGAAGACCAACACGAAATTTTCTCCTGGTTAGGTTTTGCCAGGTCTGTGAAAAAATGCGTGAGCTTTTGTCCGGTGAGCTTTTGTCAAATATTCATTTTTACAGCGGAGCTGTTAAGAGCTAGCTTCGCCAGTTCCGTGCCCGTAGACAAATAAATTTCGACAGAGCCCTCAGGATAGCTACCGCCATCTATGAACGACGGCGGCAACCAGACAACCGGTTTTCTGGTTTTCTGGTTGGCACCGTCGTTTATAGATGGCGACAGATAGTACAACTCCGCTGCTCTTCCTTTTTCACCAGGGTGGAAAGGCTGAAAGCTTTTAGACAACAATAACAGCTATATCTAGATTATGTTCTTTTCATTTAAAAAAAGAGATACATGGTATTGTTGAAAAAGTATTATTACAGCACGGAGAAACGATTTTACAACGGACATAATACGCGTCAATAATCTCTCCAACCAATGAGAGCCAAGAAACGGTGCTTCGCTAGCTAAGCAGCTTCCGTTATGGGCCGGGCCTAGAGCAGAGCTCCCCCCTTCCCGCTCCCCCCCCCCCCCCCCCCCCCCCCCCCAGTGATATCTGATGGCGTAAATATTCCAAGAAACTTCTTCGTGGGGAAAAAAAAAACTGTTTCCCATGTAGGCCTTTTTATTTATTTATTTATTTATTTATTTGTTTTCAATGTGCCTTTCAGGCACGAGGGCTTGACGAATCTCGAGCATCTTATAAGATTGCAACATTGGCCGATAAGCATGCCGAGGACCGAATAGCGGTGCACGAAGCATTAACGCAATAAGCCACGCCCGATGATTCTTAACCTGTCCGTGACTATAGCAGTGAAGAATGCTAAAATTTCGAGAAAATCATTTAACAATTGAACCAAACACTTTTCAGTAAATACAAAGGACAGATGACAGGCCTTGCAATGTAGTGCGCAAAAAAAAGCGATGTTGAATCAAATTTCTGCTAGCGCACTCGTGCACATTCAATCCTCTTTTGCTATTAGACTTCCTACGAACCGGTTTTTTTACTCGCCTCCACTCTAATTTTTTGTAAAAAAAAAGAATTAATGACCCTTTTACTACGAAAAAGCTGGTTGTAGCAGTTCGACTGGTTTTACTTAGATTGTAATTCGGTGAAATAACTTCAGCAGCCCGTGCACAGTTGGCTGCTAACGTCGGAGCAAATATTCCACCTGTCCCAACTTCTGATCGTGTTCCATTCTTTAAACGAGAAACAGTTCGTAATGAGGGTGAAAATGAAACAGTAAGGTGAAATTTCAAGCAAAGCATTTTCTTTTGTTTATTTGAGACTTTCACAGGATCAGGCTCATGTTCCGTCGGCTGAGCAACGGCTTCAGTCTGTACCCGTTGTGGGCTTCTGGTATTTCCTACAAACGATGGCTTTAATCCATAAAATATGATGGAAACATGTCGCGCCATCTACGAAGTGTGTAAACACAGCTTTCGTGTGAAATCACAAACACGTTTTAACATCCCACGAAAAAAAACAAAATACAACACAGTCTATCCGAAACGTTACCTTTTGACTTAAACCAAATTGAAAGCGCTTCTGTAAAACCATTGTGTGACCGACATTAAAAACGTGCCATAACAGAAGGTATTGACATTTATCAACCCTTGAAAACATTCGCAATCACTCTTGAAGAAACACAATTCAGTCTACGCATTTTTGTTACTTTTATGGCACTTTGAACTGTCTGAATTCGTCGAAAATACCGGTTTTTCACTCTTTTGTAGCTTGTTTACCATGGCATGGAAATATAGAATTCCGACATTTTTTCAGTTTCTTCAAACGGCGTAATGATAGCAGGCTTGATAGAGTTAAATTAAACTGAAATGCTCGACTAGATCCTAATACGGAGGTGATAAATACTTGACCTCAGAATCTATAACGTTGGGGGCCGATTAGTGGAGACAAGAAAATATAGTGAAGATCAATAGCCACACATCTTACGCGGTCACAGAAATCAATCACTTGCACGAATAAACATTGTAGCAATCTTCTTTAGAAACATAAGGATTTGACCGACCAGGACTCATCAAAGCGTTGTTCATTTCTCCTGAAGCAATGGAATGACCTTTACAATGAACAACGCTTCAGAGACTCGATTCTGCAGCAAACGTTCAAATGATTTATCCCCGGAAACAGTCTCTTCCACACCCATTAATGCCCACGTCATGCTTCGACGTCGCAATGAAGGTGTTACGTACCTTCATTCAAAACTTTTTGTAACCATACACGAACAAACGATAGTCTGCAATGACAGATGGTTGCACACGGCAATAATGAATGCAGCAATAATAAAATATGTGAGGCTGTGACACAGAACCAAAATGAAATGGAACATAACCTTCCGTCCTTGAAAAACTTAAACGAAGGAATATATAACTACCCAACGTTAAACCCAGCGCCTATCTAATGAATCGAGAACAGCTCAGCCGTCCTGATTATCAGTGACTAAAGAGTTCATACCATGCACATATTCTGAGGTTGTAAAAGGCGCGCATCCATTTCAACCGGGAGAAACGTAAGAGCCGGTTCCAATGGGCAGCCTGAAAATACCTCTAATATAGGTGGCTCCTGGATTGCCAAACTCACCCGATATATTTTGCACGCGCCCTTTACTCGCGATTCAAGATCGCAGGCATTATCGCGGATTTACGAGGAACCCGTATTGTGGGTACACTTTTAGGCTACCCATGGGAGGAGTAGATTAGTCACCGGGAATATCATACAAAAAAGGAGGATGCCTGTCACACTAGCCCGGAAACAGCGGAGACTATTGCAACAAAATATCCCGAAGATTACAGTCAATCGGAGCTACAGTCTTGCCCAATGTGTTATAATCACTGACAGGACGACGACGGCAGGGAGGTTCCACATTTGCTCCGCACCCAGCGAGAGCGTCCTCCCACAGATAATGCTTCGGCCTCTCGGGAGCGTCGAGTGTGCACGCGCAGCCACAGCGCGGTGGAATGAGTGGGTGTTCGCTGGAGAAAGGGCATTGGAAAATGACGCCCTATAGTTTTTCCGTTCTCATTCTATCAGTGACTAAAGTCGATCCCTCCACCACGTCTCCGGCCTGAGGCAAAAGACATCCTCCTATTCCGCATGACGTTCAGGATGACCATAGAATCGGCATTCACCGGCGACAACAGACACAGGCGCTGCAGTTTTGTCATCACGTCATCGGGATAAGTAAAAATTTCTGTGACGAGGGCCATGGTGGCTTATGGGCGCTCTTAAACAATAGAATGAGAACGAGGACGTGCAAAACAAAGGGCTGAAGATGAAGACACAGGGGGCTCGCTGTGGCCGGTTCCTCTGGTCGTTCTGGAGCCACGTGAGTCCTCCGCTAAGTCCAGAAGGGCTGCACTCTTGGGCGCCTGATGCAGGCGTGAGCAACGGTGTCGTGAGTGTCTATATACAGATGTACGAAAAACTGTTTTCGAGGAGGGTGCCTCGTGGTCGCTGAAACATGGAGGGCAATGCCTCAGCGGAAAGTTATCCTAACTGGAGCACAGGAGGACTAGTTCTTTCTGACCGATGCATTTCTCGTCGAACTCTGTAGGATCAGGCCTTCGTTGTCATGGCGTACCAATATATGTGATATTAACACTCTATTGGCAATCAAAATGAGTAACTGCGCGAAAGCGTTAACGTCACTTTTGACAACACTTTTGTTATTATTTTATACGTCATAAGCTACTTACCCCGATAACAATAAGCAGCCACAAATTCTCCAACACAAATGCCCAGGGGTACTGTTTTGTTTTACTGACTTGTATATTCGTGTTTAAAATAAGTACGCTTGTCTTTGCGTGACTCGTCTAATCCGTCACTAATTTTTAAAATAATGCCTTCACATTGTGTTACCCGTAGAAATTTTACATTTGAGTATTTTGGTCAGGCCTATATCGCTTATAAGCGCAGCTTGTCTTTTTTTTATTATCCTGGTACTGTCTACCCGCATACGCATAAAAACAAAACCGCTTAAGTCATTCCAAACCAACAAGCTTACGCGGGCACATGAACGCAAAACAATCATTTTGTAAACACGTATATTATGTCCGATTAGGCAGAACAAAACAAGAAAAAGAGATACTGGTATAACGAACCTACTCCAGCGTTTCACTCGCAAGTCAATGGTCGATTTCGCCCATGCGGGACGTCGTACTTCGGCCCGCTATGTTCTCGGCGCAACCATTTTGCGTCTGACCACGGACACCCTCCTCCGCGCACGATTCTGCGGTTTCACACGCGTTCAAATCCTTGGAGATTTATGTACACAGGTCGCTGAACCTCGAGGCGTCGATGAGTGGTGTGACTCGGGGCCCGCACACCGACGTGTCCTGCCTCGATCTGTTACACTCGTTACACGTGCTCCGGCTTGCTCGTCGCATCGATGACACCGCCGCTGTGGACGGCCGGTCACCACTGACGCTCGATCTGCCTTCGCCATATGCTCAAGGCAATTTTCTTCTCACTTGCTCTCTGTCGTCCTCGCGGCGTTTCCGAGTCAATTACCGCTGCCGTTGGGTAGGGGCTTGAAACTCTGAAGACAGAAGAAGTAGGGGGTCGGGGTGAGTGCTAGCGCAACCAAGGACCCTCTAGGTAATTTACACCTTGAGCACCTTTCCCGCAAGTGACAATAAGAATCCCCGAAAACATGCCACGCGCGCGTCTTGCGCATTCCCTGGCTCGTCTACTAGCATTATAAAAGTTATTCGAAGTTGGAAAAAATGTAATGAAGGCAACCGCAGAAAATACAATCCCTACCACGTTGTTGCTGCGCCTCGACGTTCTTCTGAAACATTGACGCTTAGAAAGACCTTGCACGCCAAGATATGCTCCTTTTATTTTTCATAAGGGCTACAACAACATGTGGTGCCTGGAACCTGTCCTTGACAGGTTGCTTACCACGTCCTTAATATTATTTTTTTTTTCACCCAATTTTCACTTGAGAAGTGACAAACACCGACCGCTCAGGTTCGTCGCGATCCTGACGGTGGCAGGAAAGCGGAAGTGAATGCGGCAGATGTTTGTTTTGCTGTACTTCGTACTACATTCGGTAAGCTAACAAAAAGAAAACAGGCAACCACGAGTTGGGGCGCGTGGCTGTGCGCGCCAACATAAAAAAAAAAAAAAAAAAAAATGTGACAGCTTTGCAAGCAAACATTCGTTTATTTGCCATATATGCCACGCCTATAACCAAACACAGGCATCGCCAGAATTTGTAGCGTACATCGGAGGCTCTGGAAGCATCGTTTGCTGCCGGTTTATAAAAACGATGATGCATGAACGGAATAGGACGCTAAGCACACTAGTCAGAAAAGCACTCCACTCACCGTTGTCTATGTAAGCAAAACAACATGTATATGGGTGTTTTCATCCTAAATCGAGCAGGCGAAAAGGGTCTAAATTTTAATTTTCACGTAAAAAATATATGTTTTGGGGGTATTTCTCGAATGAAGGAGGGCGCAAACCGCATGTTCTCCCGATTTTTTGTTCTCGAGTTACGAGCCGTAGAAGCCGCAGTGGCAGAAACTAGTGTTTTTGCCTGCCGACGCAGGTCGCGTGTTTGACACCCTCTGCTGACGCTATTGTTTTCTCTACACCCTTTTAACTTTTCCCCCTTATTTAATAGCTATTATGAAGATGCCTTGACGTATTTAAATATTTTTAGGAATTTGATTGTTTTCGAAAACACATGTCAAACTCGTCACTCCGGTCGTTTTTCGGTCAATTTTGACAGGTCATTACTTTGTCTGTACTTAAAGTAAATTTTCTTTCTTTGGCTCTACAGAAATCCCAAAGCAAGCCCATTATAGATATATTAATATCATTATGATCTGTCGACTATACTTCGTCCCATCCTACGATGGACTAAAGGCCAAAGCCACGGGCCGCAAGGTCCAGTCACGTTGCAAGCTAAAATATGACACGCTTAGCATTGGTTAGTGGTGGACGAATGATCCTCCCAGTCCAAAAGCGCTGCATCTTTTTTATAGCTTCGACACTGCAAAGAGCCTGTATGACATAGCTTTCTTTGCAATGTAAAATTGTTGAGTCACTCAGTGCTATTGAATCCAAACTACCGGCCGCCCCTCCCCATTATTGATTCGAGGCGCGGGTGCCGATACGCGCATCGAAGCGAAATACCACGCATCTTGTAAGTGGCTCGTGATTGGATCTGGCGGTATGTACCTTCTGCCTTTAGTCCATCGTAGGGTGAGACGAAGTGTAGCCGCTCCGCTATCTTCACGTAAACGTCATAAGTAATAACAAATGTTGAAAGTGTGAGGTCGATTTTCTCAAAAACTCCATTTTTGTAAATTTTTATTTTTTAAATTCTTTTAGACATATTAGTCGACTACAAGAAAAACCAGTCTAGAAATGTAATTTTTTGGTTGTATGTCCTCTGTTTGAGCCGCAATCGCGTGAAATGTGTGAAGATTTGTTATCTTTAACAACGTTTACGTGAAGGTAGCGGAGCGGCTACTCGGCAGATAATAATGATATTATTATATCTATAATGGGCTTGCTTTGGGCTTTCTGTAGAGCCAAAGAAAGAAAATTTACCTTAAGTACAGACAAAGAAATGACCTGTCAAATTTGACCGAAAAGCGACCGGAGTGACGAGTTTGACATGTTTTTTACAAAACAATCAAATTCATAAAACTATTTGAATAAATCAAGGTATCTTTAAAATACCAAGTAAATGAGGAGGAAAAGTTAAAAGGGTGCAGAGAAAACAATACCGCCAGCAGAGGGTGTCAAACACGCGACCTCCGACGGCAGGCAAAAACACTAGTTTCTGCCACTGCGGCTTCTACGCTTCGTAACTGAAGAACAAAAAATCTGGAGAACATGCGGTTTGCGCCATACTTCATTTGATAAATGCCCCCAAAACATATATTTTTTTCGCGAAAATTAAATATCAAACTTTTTTAGTCTGCCCGATTTGAGATGAAATTTGCCATATCAGGCAGTCTGAAAGAGTCCAGCTTTTAATTTTCACGAAAAAAAAATTGTTTTAGGGGCATTTCTCAAATGAATGAAAGCGCAAACCGCATGTTCCCCAGATTTTTTTGTTCTCGAGTTACGAAGCGTAGAAGCCGCAGTGGCAGAAACTAGTGTTTTTGCCTGCCGTCGCAGGTCGCGTGTGTGACACCCTCTGCTGGCGCTAGTGTTTTTTCTACACGACTTTACCTTTTCCTCCTCGTTTAATAGGTACTATAAAAATAACTTCACGTATTCAAATATCTCTAATAGTTTGATTATTTTCTAAACAAAATGACAAACTCGTCACTCAGGTCGATGTTTGGTCAACTTTGACAGGTCATTACTTTGTCTGTCCTTAAGGTAGATTTTCTTTCTTTGGCTCTACAGAAAGCCCAAAGCAAGCCCATTATAGATATATTAATATCATTATTATCTGCCAAGTAGCCACTCCGCTACCTTCACGTAAACGTTGTGAAAATTAACAAATGTTCACACATTTCACGCGATTGCGGCTCAAACAGAGGACATACAACCAAAATATTACATTTCTAGGCTGTTTTTTCTTGTAGTCGACTAATATGTCTAAAATAATTTAAAAAATAAAAATGTACAAAAATAGAGTTTTTGAGAAAATCGACCTCAAATTTTCAACATTTGTTATTTCTTACAACGTTTACGTGAAGATAGCGGAGCGGCTAGTCGACAGATCATAATGATATTATTATACCCATAATGGGATTGCTTTGGAATTTCTGTAGAACCAAAGAAAGAAAATTTAGCTTAAGTACAGACAAAGTAATGACCTGTGAAATTTGACCGAAAAGCGACCAGAGTGACGAGTTTGACACGTGTTTTAGAAAACAATCAAATTCCTAAAATATTTGAATACATCAAGGTATCTTTATAATACCTATTCAATGAATCGGAAAAGTTAAAAGGGTGTAGAGAAAACCATAGCGTCAGCAGAGGGTGTCAAACACGCGACCTGCGACGGCAGGCAAAAACACTAGTTTCTGCCACTGCGGCTTCAACGGCTCGTAACTCGAAAACAAAAATTGGGAGAACATGCGGCTTGCGCCCTCCTTCATTTGAGAAATACCCCCAAAACATATATTTTTTTTTGTGAAAATTCTAAATTAGACCCTTTTAGCCTGAACGATTTGAAATGAAAACACCCATATAATTTTTCACCGAGGCGAAAAAAAAATTTACCTGCGAAGTTTTTGCACCCCCATTCTTTAGATTTCTACTTCCCACTCGAATGCCGCGTAAACATAATTATTTTTCTTTTCCGTCCGGCGTGTCGTCTTTGTTTTATCCTTATATTCTATACATCAAAGCGGCTCTAAACATTGTCAGCGTGTTGAATCATGCAGAAACCGAGCCATTGGAGCCCACGGGATGCGTCTAGCGAATTGCGACACTCATTTAGTAGCTTGACGATGGAGCATTTTGAGAAACTTGCGTGCTGTTCACGGCGGTACAGCTAAACACTTCTTTACACTAAGACGTAAGGCGTGGTTTGCGTTTTGTGCTATGAAACTCATGCAATCAAATCAGTTTCAGAATGCGCAACCTAAAACGCCTTAGTCTATCTCTTGGAATTTATTTCTTTTTCCCCCCACTAATTGTTCATTTGCATGACATGAGGTTTCGGGCTGTTTCTCTTCTAGCATTATCCCAACGACCGCTATTTATAAAATAAATATAACTACTAAACCAAGTTTCTTGTAAACCAGGCAGGACATGCGAACTGAGATGTGAAATTAAACAAATTCAGAAACATACAAAAAAGACGCAACAAGAGAAACCCGTCAAGAACATCGGAAAAAGACGGCTACCCAATATGAGTACAGTACTCACAGTTAACTGGCCTGCTGGCTGCTCTGAAAGTGCCTTGTCGAACTCTTTGCTGTTCTCAGAGTACGCAGAGTACTCCTGCAGGGGCGTCAGCAGTATTGTGTCTTTGTCCCGAGCTGTTCTGGGCGAACTCCATTCCTGCGTTAGAGAATCGGTAAATACGATGTTCTTTTTTTTTGAACAGATAGATATTCGACAGCACACGCGGTAGGAAAACTTTCAACAGGTAGAGTCTTTTTTCTTGGTGGGTGTATATGGATGACTCACGAAACGTTGAGGAGTTTCGTTTCAAGTGGCATGAGATTATACTGGACGTACACCCGCGAGCGATATGAAGGTGAACAGCCCTCTTCTTGTTTTTGATGCTCCTGCAAGTTTTGGAACAAGCCTTTTTCCAGAAGAGGGCTAGAACGCAAAGTTTATACCCCCAAGACACGCACCATTTCAGACGTTGAGAGTTAATATAGCTTTAGGGAGTCGTAAAACAGGCAAGAAACAAGGTAAGGTGTTTACCTTCATTTTGCCCGCGGGTGTACGCTCGCGAGAAACGTAAAATATTTGTGTAGAATTCTGTTAAACTCGTGTAGTTAGAAAATAGTTAGAGAACCATCGAACTATTATTTATCTAAGCAAATGCAGGAATACTCTTGGTTAAGAATCTAAACAAACGATTACTCATTAAATATGAAGTTCCGCTAAAATATTTAAAAAAAATCAAAAATAGAGTTTTTGCGAAAAAAGCTGAAAGTGCTTAGGGTTGTAAGTGCCAGGATTTTTGTTGTTGTTTTTTTCATTTGCAAGTAAGGAATGTTTTGAAAATGATAGTTAGACAATTTTATTTTATTTATTTAATGCTGAATTTGAATGGAAAGCGCTTTCCATTCAATGATGTACCAACTAGCCCATTTATCTATTTTACTACAGTTTATTTTTTGCGGCTGGAGCGCGGGTGAGGGTGCTTCTTTAAGTGCCACGACCCTGTGAAAGGGCTGTTGAAGGCTTTTCACATATGGAGTTCGGACGAGGAAAAACAATTTATAGCCTTAAAGAAGCGGTTTTAGGACACAGGGGCAAACATATTTGGCGAGCTTAGTTCAAGCGCAGTTTTAAAAAAAGCTCGTTTATGCAATTACATAAGTAACTGAATGCACCGCCAAATCGCCCCCAAAATATACCATTTCTTTTTCATTCCACCCTTTTTGGTCATGTCATAATTATTTTTAAATTTATCAAACTAGTATTCAATTTGGATAATGAGTAGTTTTTATTCAACATTCTTTCGTGGTTATTTATAAGTGGATGAAAGCTCGCCTTGTCACGTTATTTCGATAAAGAAAAGCAGAACTCGCTCAGCTGTCTAACCGAACGTGGTTGTCATATATATTATGAAGATACCAGCGGCTATCTCTCTCTAATTCTTCCTTTTTATGCAGCTGGCATTGTATATAGCAATGAACCAATTAGCTCCGCTTCAAGCTGTCACAGAATTGCAATTCACAGTGTATAAAAACCACCCAGTGAAGGGCGCGGAGGTTTCTGCATAGTGGCTGTACATAAACTGTGGCAATCGCACTAAATATGGTGATGGAGGGAGTCGTCAATTGATGCTGCTGAAGTGTCGAAAACGCGGAGGGTGAGGTTTATATACGTTGTAATTTTTGAAGCTGTCGACGTTTTATGGTCTACAGAACAAAATTTTACTTGGTACTTACAGGAGCCTTGTGATAAGCCACTCGGTTGATGGGACCGAAGTGCTGTGTTTCCCAAGATTTAGCAGTGCCGCCGAAGTTGCTTTCGATGACGGGTCCAGCTATTGTATCTCCCATTCGGACATCTACAAAATTAAGTGCAAGTGGAAAAGAATATGGTATCGTTCAGAAACACGTTTCATGCACTGCGTTTGTATAAAGAACAGCTTTTCTTTTTTTTTTTTTGCTTTAGGTTCGCAAATTATATAAAAAGTAGAACTTCGTACCTGGGATGATGTCTGGGCATTTTTCTTCATCATGAAATATGTCGTTGCTGTCGTCGGTATCCTTTTGCAGAGGCATGTGCGATCTGTAAATAAATAAAACGCATACACTAAAAAACGACAACAAAAAAACTCTAATCTGTATTCTTAAAATGTACAAATACTGGTATAATTACTATTGACATTACTAGATTTTTAACGTAGAATTTAAATAATGACGCTACGAGTTCACACGTACGCTAGCCTAACATTATCAGCTTCCCAAAATGAACGTTATTGGCACGCGGTAAATATTCGATGGTGACAAAAGCCTAGTTGACTGTTACTATTTTGTTCCATTCTTTCTTTTATACTACATAATTTCGGAACATCCTCCTGTTTCGTGACATCATCTTAATTCTCTACATATGACAAGAGGCCCATGAGAGCACATGTGAGGAAAGTTGGTTTCATTTTGAGCGAAAAATGACTACAGTCACATGCACATTATAAAGAAAAAGAAACAAAAACATTGATGGAAAAGAACAAACACCGAAGACCCACTAAAGAATAAAAAATGAAAATTTACACCAACAATGTACAGTCTTTTTCAAATGTTTCGAGCCAACCACGCGCGTGGCCGGAGCGGGCCTTACCGTGCAGCGGCGCTCTTATCGTCGGCGCTCGCTGTCCTCTTGCGTCGCGCTCGCCTTGATACCAAAGTGGCGCAAAATAGCGGGTGCGCCGTGCGTCTTGCCTTCGCTCGTTGCGTGATACTGCAGTGCGGAGGCGCTGCCGTAGCAACTGATGGTGCGCTACGCCTGCGTTTCATAAATAATGCACCGCCAGCCGCCACAGTGAAAATACGCGTTTGTCTTCCCTCTCCTTGCATTAAACACATTATTATGTTCTGCGGGATAAACACGTTTCGTCGCGCGTTCACGGTTGACATCATGCACAATATTGGTGTATTTAGTGCACCTCTGCCGCGCTGCTGGCTTGGGCGCGGTTTTTACTGCAATATAAAGCAATATCAAGTCGCCCAGCTTCCTGCTTTGTAGACAACAATGCCGATCTGGGGAAAATACTGCTTTCTTCGCAAGTACACCTGTCAGTAACACACGCCCAAGCCAGCAGCGTGGCAGAAGTGCAATAAATACTACAATATTGTGCATGATATCAACCCTGAAAACTCTACGAAACGTGTTTATTCACTGCAGGACATAAAAAAAAAGTTTAATGTTAGGAGAGGGAAGACAAGCACATAATTTTCCTGTGACGGCTGGCGGTGCTTCGTTTCTAAAGCGCACAAGCAGCGCACCATCACTTTCAACGGCAGCGCCTTCTCACTGCGCGGCGCACCCGCTATTTTGCGTGACTTTGTTATCAAGGCGAACGCGACGTAAAAGGGAAGTTCCCACTCGCTCTAAAAAATCTCGCAGACAGCGAGCGCCGACGATAAGGGCGTCGCTGCACGGAAGCGAGCCCGCGCCAACACCAGAATAATCAAAGCCTCCGCATCGCCTCCTCTCCCTTCATGAAACGTCATCAGAAGCGGATCGCACCAACTCGGCTATTGGGCTCGAGTCCGACCTTCAACGCGCTGTTTGAGCAAGAGCCCCGGACGAACACTGACGCAACACTCGTGGCCAATCTCAGGCCTCGATCGATCTGACTGTGACGACGGTGCGGAGGCCTTCTGCTTATCTAGGTGGTGTTGGCCCGCTCCGGCCACGCGCGCGGTGGGCAGCTTTTGAAAAAGACTGTATATATATTTGTCGCTTTCGAAATATTACGACGACAAAGTTAATACAAAAATGAACTTGCTATATTTCTAATACAAATACCATATCTATGCACATATCACGTGACACCTAGATATACAGTAAATTCATTTTTAGCTTGCGCTCACTTTTCTGGTCTCCCTGCCTGCTGAAAGCTATCCCCCCCCTTTTCACTCCGTAAGCGAAAAACACCACTTGATAGGAGCCTCTAGTGCCACGGCGTCTGGCAGGCAATGATATGAACGTCGGATTATAGAAGTTCTCATCTTTCAGGATATTTGAAGTTGATATTTTCATTGGCCCACTACGGAACCTTGGGAAACGTGAACAAAATTTCAAAATTGCACGAGGTTCTTCAGTGTGTCTAAATCAAGGCACGGATATATTAGACAATAGTAGCCCTTCGTTGTTATGTTGTACAGTTGCCCATTGATCATTTCTTAAGCATTGCAACTGTCAAGAGCGCCGCAATATGGTAAAAAAAGAAACAGAGTAGGAAGGCAATCAATCGTATAAACTTACTTGTCGTCCTTTTTGATCCGACTTTGACCTGCGTTAAAGAAAATAAAAAAAAAAAAATAAACAACCATCACCAGCACACTACTGACCTTTTCCGAAGCCAATTTGATTAAAATAGCGGAATTCGTTTAGGCATCGACAAATTTTCAACGGCTATGCAGTCGAAGGAATGAGAGGCCGTACGCTCGCGAAACGTGGCAATCGATAAAAGTCATGCCGGCGCACTCTCTAATTACGAAACACCCCAGCAAGATTTACCCGAGAACTGACGGCAACATGTTTTGGCGGCGCTCCTGTGGTTCCTACCGGTGTCGATCAGAATCATCCTGCTCGCTATGATTAGTAGCGAACGACAAATCTGATTATGTGTCTAAAGAGCACAATGGAAGTTTATAGTCATCGCCTCTATGCCGTCATAGTTGAGGTTCTGACATTTTTCTTATTGACCAGTCGTGAAAGGCCGAGCACAGCGATGCTTATGGTCACACACGCGTGCCATAAATCCAAGCATCTGGGGCGTACGCTGTCACCGCAAAAGCCTGGAATTCTGGAATTTACAACCTCCACCTCCTTTTCCTTCTCACCTCTCCCCTGCTTGCCAGGTTTCATAGGTACATTGTGCTCTTTCCTGGTCAAGTAATTATTACAGCATGATGTATGTTTAAAAGTCCAGGTTAGCATCCCTACGGCACAGGCAGTAGAACTGCTAACCTACACCTGAGGTGTAGGTTAGCAGTATAGGTTAGCGGTGTATATACATATATATATATATATATATATATATATATATATATATATATATAATACATACACTAAACTTCCTAACATAGCAACTCCGAAAGTACGGATCTTTGACTTATTAATTTTCATGGTCCATTGTTCTCAAACTACTCTACCTCACCAATAAATAAATAAATAAATAAATAAATAAATATATATATATATATATATATATATATATATATATATCACAAAATAGGGTGCGCAGACCATGCAGCCGTAGGATGATTAAATAAAAATCTAATTTCATAGCGAAAAAAGTCACACACACACAAACAAAGAGTGAAGTGCCGGAAAAAAGTTGAATTAGTTTACAAGAATAATCAAAGCCAGGCACAAAAACGCTTGTCACGAGGGAAAAAAGAAAACTTGAATAAAAGTCAAAGTTAAACACAATGTACGCGCGACAATGCACCTGCGAACAGAACCTACAACAATGATCCCTCATCGCGACAAAGGTTCCCTTTTCCCTACCAGCCCGCGCTTCTTTTTCCCTACGAGCACCTTCGAACTTTCGCGTCAACAAGCACCCTGGCCTAGATCTTGTATAAAACTAACATACTGCGCCATGTCGGCTTTCATCCTGAAGAAGACAGCGCCACTGACGAAACGTCGACGGACGTCAGGCCCCTTTCTTATTTTTTATTATTTTTAATCTTTTATTATAATTTTATTTTTAACAACCTATTTTTTTAGGTTCTTGTGTTTAACTTTGACTTTTATTACGTCCTTTTTCAGTTTTTTTTTTGTCTCCGCGTAACTAGCGTTCCTGTGCCTAGCTTTGATTATTCTTGCAAACTATCACAACTTCTTTTCCGCACTTCACTCTTTGTTCTTGTGTAACTTTTTTCGCCATTAAATTTGATTTTTTTTTTATTTTTATCATCCTACGGCTGCTGTGTCTTCGCACCCTATATATCAACGGAAGCATTTGTACCTCTCGAAAGGCTTTGTTTTGCTTATTTTTATGAAAATTCCGGGGAGCCCACAGAAAGCCAAAGAGCCTTCGGGTGCACGAGCACATCAATACAATCAATGGCAGGGAAGTCATGTTGAAATTCGCTTAGGCAGAAGTATGTAGACCAGGGGTGGCCAAGCTGCGGTCGCGTGTAAAAGTGCGACTCGCGGCTCTCTCCCCTACCCCTTTCCCGCCTCCCTCCCGGTCACACGAGCACTTCCCCAAAAAGAGAAATGGAACGCGTTTAAAATCGAAAGACAGGTTGCGTATTGGTAGTCTTGTGCTACTGCTACCTTACGTACAGTTGGACTTTTTTGACTCGAATAAATTGAAAGTAGTTCGAGTTTCGGTCATTGTTCTGGACAAAAGTTTGCCCCCCCCCCCCCTCCCCCCCCCCTCCCCTTCACGGCTCTTGGAAGTTTCGTAGTTTTGTTTGCGGCTCATAGGCCGGATCAGCCTGGCCACCCCTGATGTAGACGATACATAACGAAACAAAAGGAACAAATTATTAATGAGAACGTGGAAGATGTCTGCTCTTAGAAACAAATGCGGCTGAAGTGTTAAACATAAAGACACGGTATAGGTCGGGTTGTACCAACACTACCTAGAATAAATGCTGTGATTAGCTTATTCTACCTCCACGTAACCTAATCACATTCGGATGGTGCTAACTCGGCAATTGTGCCCGGGGTCAAGTTTCTTTTGTCAAGCTAAACTGGACACGAGGCCCAGACTAACGCTCACGCCCACTGGTGACTAATCTGTACATACGTTTGATCACACTGTGATGACGTCCAAATGCTTTAGCACGGAATTTGACTGTGGCACTGGTTGTGCTCAAGTGAAATCCTGTAATGGTTGAAGTTCAAATCCGGTTTCGCTGCCAGTGTCTCAATGCAAGTGAACTTGACAGCGATGAACGTGAAAGTTGAGTGTATACGCTGGAGACAACCTTGGATAACATTAATTTTGAATTGACTGTCTTTCGCGGAGCATCAAGTTTTATATATTTATTTGATAAAACGTCCTACAGAGAACCAAGACCAATATTCATGTGTAGTCATTAGCTCCAGCTGTTTCACAACAGCTCGTGCTAACAACCCCATATGAGTATTATTACACAATTTTTCTTGTTCTAGCATTGCGAAACACGATAGCCCGCTGTGCAATTTCAACGAAACGATCTTGGAAGACTGTACCACACAGCCAAAAGTCAGTCTCGCGCGGCGCATCACCAATAAGCGAACAACGACGGTAATCATCACGTATTCGTGCAACGCCCCCATCGAATCGAAGCGGCGATCCAGAAATACCATCTGCCGCATCCGGTGCATAAGGGACGCTCTGTGGCAATCGACGGCTTTCGTGTACCGACGAACGGTACAAACTCCGGCGAATACAGAACCGGCAGGGCAATCAACGGCCCTCGGACAGGGGGGAACCGCAGCCGCCGCCCAGGGAATCCTCACGTTGATGGAAACGAGCGACCTCCACTGTTTACTAATTCAAAACAAGGATCCGTACAACGGTATACCCAATAATGGAAAAGAGGGAACAACGGCTGCAGAATGCACTGGGGAGCTAGTGCCGTCTGCCCGTGAATGGCCAACGCGTCGAGAGATTGGCTGCTACTGAAAGCAAGCGCAATGGGCTTCCTCGGCGCATCGACGTTGTTGGGTCGCCAAGTTTGGAGTACGGTAAGCGGCCCGTTGCCGCTCGGAACTGCGGGCAATATTGATGAGGTCCACCTATAATTTTAAATTGAGTTGTGTTCTATTTTTGTATTCTATATGGCTTGTTTGAGACGAAAGAATGGAGGGCGTACTGATGCTTGCTGAACCCGTATTTACGGTCGTGGATCAAGAAAAGTGCAGAGAACACGAGCGCGTCATTCGTGGTTCGCGTGCCGCATCTGGGTAGCGGCGTGCAGAAAGGCCCTGTTAGCGAGGGTTGATGAGACATAGAAGTCCTCCCAATATACTTTGCTCTAAAAAATACTATGTTTTCTAGCACGCCGAGCTATGTTGCAGAGAGACGAAAATTGGACCGTAACTTTCGTAACCTAGATTGAAACGCGTGGAATGAGGTAGTCGGTCCCACATACCAAAAGGGGTTTCAAGTGAGTTTCTCCGTTTATGAACTATATCAGCTTTAAGAAAACATATGGCGCGGGGAGCGTTGCAAGTGTGGTTTAGGGAAGTTATTTTATTGCGACACATGCTGACGTGTGTTATACTCCTGACTTTTCGGAAACCTTTGCTTTTTTTCCGATCAGTGTAAACGATCTAAATCTCCAATTATTTATATTTAGTATATATTTTAAATGTCTTGATTCTGTAAAGAATCTCTAAAATTTTATGGATATTTTTATCTGAAATCATATGACAACGTCGAAAAGGCAGCAAAATTGATTTTGTTTAAACTGCACATATTTTATCTCCTATCATAGAGATTAAATTGTTTATGTTGAATAATTTTCATAATTTAATGCAAAAAATATGCCTGCATTATAAAAAATAACAGCTATCAATGTGTGCATTCAATGCATTATAGTTCAAAACTTCCGGTGTATGATATTTAAGTAAAGCTATTTTTAGATTTTGATTGAAAGGACCTAAAGTTTCCTTTTTTGCTTTGCTGCGTTTAAAAGCGTATTGACATGCCAGCGAATAGTTACGAACATTTGAAACAGGCGAGACCAATGACGCTGGAAAGTAATCAAGTTTTATTGTGTTTAATAACCTAGGTTACCTTTACCGATCGGGCCCATTAAACTTTAGTATAAAAAAAAAGAAGCTAAGTCACCCCAGTCAAAGCGCCTCATTGCTTATTTGTTCAAAAAGATGTCTCTACAGGTAGTTCACGAGAAAAGAGAACCCTGTTTTTTGGCCCAGGTAATTAAACTATACATCGCAGAAAGCTCAAACTGCGTGAGATCGTGACGCCAGCGGTTGGGATAGAACGCGAAAGTTTGAGAACATTACGTTGCCTGCATCAAAAGATGATTGAGAAAAATAATTGTTATATGTGCCGGCGTCCGCACAAGCCTAATATCATCAAAGCAAGAACTGAGATTGTGTACGATTGAGGGATTTCTATTAGTGAAAAACACGTATCTGCAAGAACGGGGATTTGTTTTCTTTCGTAATGACGAGTTTCGTTTACTGAAATAAATGTTACAGGCGCTCACAATGTAATTTTTTTGCTTCGACGCTATTAGGCTTAGGTGGACGTCGGCTCATAGAACCATCTCGTTTTTCTCAGTGACTTTGTGATCAAGGTTACGTCATATTCTAAAACTTCCGCGTTCTAGCCCAATTGAAAACGCCACATTCTCACGGCGGTTGAATTTGCTGCAATGCACGTTTATTTACCAGAGTCGAAAAACACGGTTCTCTCTTCTTGGGAACTCCCTGTATATCTATGTGTGTCTTTATAAATACTAGGTTTGTTCTTATTTATCATTTTTGCTCACCCTATCCCAACTCTTAACCTTGATATAAAAAATTAATTTCAAAGGTCCTCACGTTTAATCGTACAATTGTTAATGTTTATCTAACAACTTTGTTTTTTAGGTGAATGCTATGCTTCACCCAACAACTTCAGGTGAAACTGAACATGACCGGAAGTTGTTCTCATAGTGATTTGAAGTTAGCTGGGCATGTTTACTGCACCATGAGGCGCCAGGCTGTATTAGAGAAATAGTTTTATGCAAGCTGAATAATTTTATGGCTTAATTTGAACAATCATTACGCGTGCTTGCGTGCACGTTCAGTGCCCCCGTAAGCAAAGTGATTTTACTGAAACCAGATGTTCTCAGACTCCCTAAAATCACCTGTGACAGGCCACGCACCAGCAACCAGCAAAACCATCTGAAGAGCTGAGTGGTTTGTTTTGAGATCTTTAGAAATAGCTTCCTTGTGCAAGTTTTCGTACAGGAAATACATCTTGCAAAGCTACGCTTTTGGGCTTATGTCTCTGCTGGGTTGTGGGGGTTTTCTGATCTAAAGTAGAGCAGCTTCGACTCAGCTTCTTGAGTAGGTTGGAACTTGTAAACCTCCAGTCACTTCTGGGACAAGCCCTACATAGCGGTGTGCGGTGAAATAAAATATGGAAACGAAAGAAACCGAAAGAAGAGTGGAAGATGAAGCATTCAAATGGGAATTTTTTTTCTCTGCTTACCTTTGTCACCATGTTGCCGACCTTTGAATTTCATCACGATGATGATGGCAATGGCAATGACGACAAGTCCCCCGACAACGGCGATCAACGCGGCAAGTAGAGGACTGAAGTTTAGCTGCCACAAACCTTCTGAAAAAAAAGGAAAGAAAAAAAAAAGCGGCATGTTTAGGCAACGTTTTATTTATTTTGAGGTAGAGCAAAATTAAGAAGAGTACATTCATCCACACTCACCGAGATTGTCAAGTACTTATGACTTCCTACAAATGCTCACACGTGTTATTGTATTGTGAGGTATACACAAAGCGTGACACCGCTACGCGAACGATCATTAGACATGTTCTTATTCTTTCTTTTAAAATCGTAGGGTGGTTATAAACTACTAGTGTAATTAAAAGTGCTCATCCGAGTCACTAATCTATGCGATAAAATTTAATTTCCGATAATACTATTTCGAGGTAAATTCGGAAAAATCACCAAAGTTTTGTTTGCATAGAATATGTTGTTCATTATTTTGCATTTTGTAGAAAGAAACCAGCAAAATACGTAAAAAAGACGAGATATTCTGAAACTTGATAAGAGACACAACGTGCACAACCTGCGGAGAGCTTCTTGCACAAGGACTTCATCACTTCCTCAGAGGGTCTTCCTCACTTGCTACAGTTTCTTTATAGATACAATCAAAGAGTGGTTTGCCTTCGGTGGTGGGGTGTCTCCAACATAGTTTGCAGCGCTTAAAGAAAATATTATCATCAATCATATCACATTCCGAAAAGTGGTAGGTACTCTCTTTAATGTCATGTTGTAGCCCGATTTCAAAAACAGCCAAGGTAATGGCCAGTGAGCCTTTTTGGAACGACGTCAAAAAGGTGGCATTTCGGACATTTAATATAAGAGCCGACGTTTTCCCAACAGTTTTTTTTAGAAACAAGGTATACATTGAACATGGTTAAAAATCGCGCACAAAGAGACAATGACAAACGAGGAAGGAACACGGAACACAGACAGGCGCGCACTCACAACTTTAGTATATTTAGTGAAGAAAAGAAAGATGAAGCACAATTGTTTACAGGGGACAACGTTACCAGGGGGTAAACAGATCAGTCGCAGTCAAATGATCGAAAGAAGGCAACTTCTTTTTCGCTCAAAGCTACCGACGGCTGACTAACGCAGCGATCGGCCAGGCTGAAGATGGTGAACGCTTCGAGCACCTCGCGTGTTTGTTTTTCTTTAAAGCGTCCAATGATTGATGTTTTTTTCTAAAGATGGTGTGCACGTACAGGTCTTACAGTGCACCGAAAGGTGACCTCCTACAGTGGATGTTAAAGAAAGTTTGTGCTCTCGTAGCCGGTCATTTAGACACCGTCCCGTCTGTCCAGCATAGCATCTTCCACATGAAAGAGGAATGCTATATACAACGCCCGATGAACAGGGAACAAAAGGCCGCACATGCTTTTTGTGGCACGTATTTTTTGATGATTTTTCCGCCTTTTCACGAACCTTCGAACAAATTTGTCGCATTTTTTAGGGGCTGATAGTATCACGGGCACACCATACCTACAGGCCACTTGTTCTAGATTATGTGATATTTTGTGTAGGTATGGCATAACCACCACCCAAGCTTTTTCAACAAGGCGCCTAGTTTTTTCACCCCCCTTTACATTCTTTACCAGTGTTCCTATCACTTCAATTAAGACCTTATTCGGGAACCCTGAAGATTTTACTCAATCGATTTGGCTCAAGAAACTCCGATGAATGGCATGGAAACATGACTTCTTTAGGGCTGAGGTGAGGCAAGAGATAGCAATGCCTCTCTTCACAACCTTGGAGTGCGAGGATGTGTAGTGAAGAATACCTTTTTTGGAACGTGGCGAGAATGACCAGCACAAGTGATCGGCGTGCAATGAGAGGAAAAGGTCTAAGAATTGCAACGCCCCTTCTTTAGGCTTCTCAAAAGTAAAAGTGAGCCCAAAGCCGCACGTATGAAAAATGTCCATAATCGTGGTAACTAAATCTTGATCCGCAGTCTTTTTGTACAGTAAAAGATAATCATCTACATATCTGAACACGTTGGTAACAGGCGTGGACTTAAAAGCTAAAGCAACAGCACGGTCGATTCTCGCAAGTAAAATATCACTTAAGACTGGCGCGACACAAGACCCAAAACACACCCCCGATTTTTGTAAAAATACCCCCTCTTGCCATTCGACGAATGTGGAATTTAAATCAAATTGCAGTAGTTCAAGAAAACTGTCTGTAGTCACCCCTCTTCAGTTCCGGAAAGCAATTTCTTCTTGGGATTCAAAGCAGGCCCTGACTGGGCTAAGTAAAGGGTCATGAGGAAGGGAATAGAAAAGGTCTTGTACATCTACGGTAAATGCACTGTGATTGGAAAATGCATTTGTTTTTAAGGTTTAAACAACAGTTTCAGAATTCTTAACCAAGAAGGCATCCTAAATCCGCAGAGTGGAAAGGTGTTTCTGCAGAAGTGTTTGGGTCTTGTGTCGCGCCAGTCTTAAGTGATATTTTTCTTGCGAGAATCAACCGTGCTGTTGCTTTAGCTATTAAATCCACGCCTGTTACCAACGTGTTCAGATATGTAGACGATTATCTTTTACTGTACAAAAAGACTGCGGATCAAGAATTAGTTACTACGATTATGGACATTTTTCATACGTGCGGTTTTGGGCTCACTTTTACTTTTGAGAAGCCTAAAGAAGGGGCGTTGCAATTCTTAGACCTTTTCCTCTCATTGCACGCCGATCACTTGTGCCGGTCATTCTCACCACGTTCCAAAAAGGTATTATTCACTACACATCCTGGTACTCCAAGGTAGTGAAGAGAGGCATGGCTATCTCTTGCCTCACCTCAGCCCTAAAGAAGTAGTGTTTTCATGCCATTCATCGGAGTTTCTTGGGCCAAATCGATAGACTAAAATCTTCAGGGTTCCCGAATCAGGTATTAATTGAAGTGATAGGAACGCTGGTAGAGAATGTGAAAGGGGGTGAAAAACTAGGCGCCCTGTTGAAAAAAACCCGGATGTTGGTTATGCCATACCTACACAAAATATCACATAATCTAAAACAAGTGGCCAGTAGGTATGGTGTGCCCGTGGTACTATCAGCCCCTGAAAAAATGCGACAAATTTGTTCCAAGGTTCGTGAAAAGGCGGACAAATTATCAAAAAACACGTGCCAGAAAAAACATGTGCGGCCGTTTGTTCCCTGTTCATCGGGCGTTGTATATAGCATTCCTCTTTCATGTGGAAGATGCTATGTTGGACAGACGGGACGGTGTCTGAATGACCGGCTACGAGAGCACAAACTTTCTTTAACATCCACTGTAGGAGGTCACCTTTCGGTGCACTGTAAGACCTGTACGTGCACACCATCTTTAGAAAAAACATCAATCATTGGCCGCTTTAAAGAAAAACAAACGCGCGAGATGCCCGAGGCGTGCACCATCTTGAGCCTGGCCGATCGCTGCGTTAGTCAGCCGTCGGTAGCTATGAGCGAAAAAGAAGTTGCATTCTTGCGATCATTTGATTGCGACTGATCTGTTTACCCCCTGGTGCCGTTGTCCCCTGTAAAAAAATGTGCTTCATCTTCCTTTTCTCCACTTAATATACCAGAGTTGTGAGTGCGTGCATGTCTGTGTTCTGTGTTCCTTCCTCGTTTGTCCTCGTCTCTTTGTGCACGATTTTTAACCATGTTCGACGTTTACCAACTCGCCCAGCTTACTACTCTTCTACAAGGTATAGTTTTCTTCGAGTTTTGTCTAGAAGTGTCTTATAAAAAAACGAAGCCTGCAGATTCTGTTGAAGTCAGTGGATTCCCTAGTGCCACCAAGTGGCAGCCCGGATGCAAGTCAAGGATGGTACGGAACAGACGCCGGCTTCTTAAGGTTGCAGCTTGCCTGAATCTGCGCTCATTGTGAGACGCCATCAACCGGGGGGAGAAATGCCCTCGTCAAGACGGAAGTGCGACCTATGCGCAGAGAAACCGAGGGAGAGGAGGAGACAAGAGAGCGCGGGCACGTCAGAACGCGGAGCTTTGGTTGGAACGATTAGTGGGTAGATTTAAAGCTAGCTGCCCTTGTCTACACTGCACTCGTCGAACGCGTTCGACAAGTGCAGTGGAGACCTACTATCCTTCCAGTCAGAGTCAGTCAGAGCCAATCAGAGCTCGGTGTTCTGACGTCACCGCAACCACCGAGCAAGAAGCAGAAGAACTTGCACTCCGTATAGCCACGGACGGAATGACACGGCCCGGAGGGCTTCAATTATGTCGCCTCCAGTGAGAGCTTCCTAGTTTTGAAAACGCTTCCGCGTCACGTGAGCCTCGAGCCTGCGCGAGCATTCAAAGAGCGGCGAAAAACAACAAGAGCGGACTGGTGGCCCAGCATAAAAAAAAGACGCCTCGCCGTTCTCATTCTTTTTTTTTTTTAGTGACTATAGAAGATGCTACGGGAAACCGTGATGACGCGGTAGGTCGAGACGCGCAGGTCTCTTCGCCTTTTTGTTTGTGTGGTAATGTCTGCGGCTTCGCTTAAAATCTATCCGTATGGTGGTAAAGTAAAATATAGCCAATGTCGACGTGACTGTGTCACAGCATGCATCTTGCACTTTCAAGTAAACATTGAACGAAAGAAAAAAAGGTTGAGCCCTCTTTTGGCATTATATTGTTACGATTAATATGAAACAGCACTTGATACGAGATTACGCCAAGCTCTAATAATTACTGCGCAGGTTATATATTTAAAATATTGACCGTGTATAATATTTCGCTTCGACTGCTCAAGAGTGCATGGATTAAGAACGTAGGCCCATAACTCTGTCCCCATATTTGATTCTTACAGATACTGGCGCCTACTTTAATTCAACATTCTGAACCATTCATTCACCATACCTGCAGAAGATGAAACTGATGGAATGGATTCAGGACACATTACCTGGTAAGAATATATTGTCGCTCCCCAAAGAAGTTGCTCGCAAAAAATGACGAGGGATCGACAAGCTTTGCAACCTGTTAAAAGGTGCTGACAAAATATTGACTTTCAGCTACAATCTGTCTAGGGACATAATGCATCAGGTGCCCAGAGCTTCGCACAACTCCACAGGCAATATATCCTAA